TTTCACAATACAAAAATGAAACTTTGCAAATTATGTAACCTATGTGTAAAAAATTTCACTATTACAAAATTACTAAAATTTCCCTGAATATTCATCAAATGTGATAGATAATATTAATATTCATCAATAGAGAACACTTATTGTATTCATATATTGCATGTTTTAATTTTTTTCAGACAGAATCTCACTATGTGGGTGAATCTGGACTTGACTTCACTATGTAGTCCAAGCTGTTCTAAAACTCATGGTGATCCTCCTGCCTCAGCCTCCTAAGTGCGGAAATTAGAGGCATGCACCACCATGTATCTTTTAATTTTTGAGACCAGGACTATCAATGTAATTTATGGTCCCAATGGAAAATTAACACATAGAACTTGCATTCAGAAACTAGATCATGAGAACAACCACAGAGTTCTTCTAAACTGTGACCCTGGGTGTCTGTATAAATTCAACATCAGTGAAGCTACCTTGGCTGGCAACACCTTTTGAGATAAGCACTGTTTCCTATTTTATGTATTAAGAGAGAAATCAAAGCTCTGAAACAGTAATCATCTAGTTCAAAATATCACTGTGTGTACAAATGGATTTGGTGTTTGAAGATTCTGGAGACTGTCTTCAAGACCTCTGCTCATCTGCTTCTAGTATTCTTTTTCTTTTTTTAATTATGTAAGATTTAAAGTATTTTCATTTTTATTTTTTGCACAATAAAAGAGGAAAAAAGGACTCATTACTGAGCTACAACCCCAGCTTTTTCTTTTTTTTTTTTTTTTTATTTTGACACAGATTCTCCCTAAGTCACTAAGTTCCCCAGACTGAACTCTAGTTTTGAATCCTTTTGCCTTAGCCACTGAAGTGCTGGATTTCCAGGCGTGTGTCTCCATGTCCAGCTTGATTTTAATCATGCGATGAGAGACTAGTTCCCAGATCCAAACATATAGATTTCTAAATTAATTTCCATTTTGTAGTGAATCGATTAACTGACAGATTAAGGGAATTACATTTATAAAATCTTATTTTTCTGAGAGTATTTAAAAGTCATTTAAAATACACATATAGTCAAAGTGGAAAAAATGACTGGATAAGTATATTTGGTGACTTAAAAGTTTATTAAATATAGCTCCAAGTGTACACTTTAAATTGTGACTGATCTAGTCTGCATTTTCTTACTAGATTTACAGTTACTCAATTTCTAATATATTTAGAAGACAGAATCATAACTTTGACACTCTTGAGACAGGAATTATACAGTTCAAAAATGTTTTATAATTTTTCTTTGCCTACAAAACAATATTTTTAGGGAATATTTGTAGTAAAAATTTGGAAATTAGACAAATACAGAAATATATAATGCAGAATGGAAATTATCTGTATTTTTGCTTTAAAAATAGTGACCAATGTTTATATCTTTCATTATTTACCTAGCATAAAATATTAACACTTTCCAAAGACATTAAAACTTAGAAATATGTATACTTTATGACCTTCATGTACCATAAATCATTTAAAGCAAAACATAGTGGCTTTAGGTTGCTTTCAATATTTTGCTGTTATAAATGACCCTATGAACAGGAATAAATATAATATTCAACCTTCAACTACAAAATAAAATGTTAAGATGGCCATAGAAGAAGCAGATCTGCTTTTTGTAAAATTTCAAAAGAAAATTTATTGATTACACCATGTTTGGTACATGTTACTACATTTTGTCATGTGACATCCATTTTATTTCAAACTTATTTTCATGATTATCAACTTGTCTATTCTAAATTTTCTAATGGTTAACATATCTTGAATGTCCTATAAAGAATACATGTTCAATTTATGCTGTATTGAATATAAGGGAAACATTTTCATTCAATTGCTGAATATCTTATACAATTTCATATTGCTTCAATTGAATATGGTGTCACCTGACAGGACTCTGGTTTGGAGTACCAATCATATTATAACTAGTCTAGCAAATAACTGGTATTATACAGCTTGGAAGAGTTTTATTAGACTCATGATGATCAGGCTTCACATCTTAAAGCTGTCATGTAGAAACAATATAGAGTTTTGTGTTGATCCAAGACTCAAAACTAATTCTAACTGGAGTAAGTCACAAAAAGGCCATTTTCTGTCAGTTAATATTTTTTACTGATGGCTAAGTATGATGCTGAATACCTGTGATCCCAACACCTTGGAAACATGAAGGTAATTGTGAGTTCCGGGACAGCCTGGACTATTAAGTAAGTTCAAGCCAGCCTAAACTACATAGCGAGATGCAGCACCCTCCACAGAAATATATATATATATATATATCTTTCCTGATGGGAATGTTTGCTGTCATGTTAAGGGAAGATGTGAGTTGCAGGGGAATAATAAATCTTGTAATACTGTTATAAGCAGGAAATTATGTTCAGTGACTTCCATTTTATGAATGTTTCTAATACATAGTTAAACATTTAAATTCCATTAGTAAAAGCCATGGAGAAATTTATTATTTGACCAATTGTTTTATATTCTGATAATAAAAAATAGGTTATGAGAGTAATCATTAATTTGTTATGAGTAATGGACTTCGTGAGACAATGTATGGGTATTTTTGTATTTCTCTACCACAAAGGAAATGAAGTAGTGTTTTCAATTATAATATTGTAGTACGGCAGTGTAAAACAATTGTAATTCTCTTACTATTAATTGAAATTGTTGTTTATTACTATATGATTTTCTATATCCTTAAACACAATTTCATAGTACATTTATGTTGACATTTCCCTTTGTTATTGGTGAGAACATCCAATTTTATATTTATCAAGAAGAAAGTGTTAACACTGCACATATTATTCACATAGCTAGATATTCAGCAACAGACATGTTCCATAATATTACGTATCATGTAAAAGCAATAGTGTTTAGTCACTTTCCCATTGCTAGGACTTGACATCCACAATTTAAAGGAAAGGTTTCTTTTAACCTAGTTTTAGTCGCTGGTCCATTGGCTGCAAGGCAAAAATGGTATCATGGATGGACATGTGCAGAGAAGAACCATTCATCACATGGCAGCCAGGAAGTATAGAGAGAACGGAGGAGCAAGGGATAAGAATATTCTCTTCCAGTTGACACAACCACTAACTCCTCTCAAAAAGGCCTCACCTCCTAACTGCAAATGCAGTCACTGAACTCATTAGGGGAGGAAATCCTTAGTTTAGTGAGTATAGCACTTCCCAGTGATCGAATCACCTTGGACACTGGGAAACATTTTAAAACTAAACCATAACAAATAGCTTCATATTTTCATAATATTTCTGCATTCTGGTGCCTACATTTTAAAAAATATTTTCCTATTCCAAATATTATTATCTTCTACAGTCACTGTACATAAAATGGTTTGCTCATTGACAAAATCTATCACAAAAGAATGCTCTTGGAATCCTAACTTAAACTGTATTTAACTTTTGACTCCATGTAAACTTCATCTGTTCATGTAGTAGTCATTTTGTGTTACATACAGTTATGTGTAGGTTTAGTTTATATTTTAAGCATTTTTAAAAGAAACTCTTGCTTTTAGACTTTGCCGTGATATGATGTCTTTGGATTGTATTGTTTGAATGTTTGGGGGTTCAGTGATTGGTTTCTAAATAATGAATCCTATTAAGTTCTTAGAGAAGAGAAAACCTGTGCTGTGCTCATGTATAAATTTGATGTCTTTTAGGTTTCTTTTATTGGTAACCTAAGCGAGCTATCAAAATGGAAGTCCCTTGGATCTGGAAATGTAAAAAATGTGGCTAGTGTTTTTAAAACATACGCTTTAAAGCAGTTGTTACATAACATGCCGTGGGAAACTGTTAATTGCCAACTTGAAAGCTAAAATAAGAAAATCCTGCAGCTTTATACAAGGGTCCTCAGTCAAGAAATCATGTGAGAGGCATGTAGGTTCCTACACACCCTTCCCACTATCTATTAGGAAGTTCAGGAAAATCAGTAAATTAGTTTTGACCGCAGCCAAATACTTGCCTCTGACTGACATATAAAACCCAATCCAGTGCAGTCTTGTGTGTGTGAGTGTGTGCGTCTTGACAATATATCTTTTAAACAGGATGAACTACCAGAAAGTAGTGATTAACACCAGAAAGTTTACTTTATAAAGGAAAAGAATGGTGTGAGACAGAGAACTGATGCCTGTGTAGTAAGAAGATGACTACTTAAACTTGTTTCAAATGCTGCTTAATTCCAAAGACTGGTGCTCTATACCTCCCAAAAGAGTCTCTGAACTGAAAGTGGGATTATAAACTGAAAGTCTCTGATAATTAATTTGGAAACTGAATATCTAAACGTGTTTATTAATGTAAAACAAAAGTTTCTTAAAGTTTGAGTAGCACTGAGAATAAAGAATAAAGATTTTTGACTAATAGGCACTTTTTTTCCATTTTATTATAATTTTAAAGGTATTTAAAAGGTATGTTTTGATCAAATTCAAATGATTTTTATTTTAAAATATAATATAAAAATAATCATAATTATAAAATGCAGTCTACAAAATATTTTAAATCAATATATTTATTTTATTTTTCAGTGCCATGACTTGCTTTCATTTAAGTGTTATTTTCTATTTAAAAGTATTAAACTATTAATATGTAAAGTGCACCAGGTAATGGAATTATTTCAGAGACTTTAGTAAAAGCTTTAGTAACACTGTAAACACTTGAAACAGCGTGTTTAATTAAATATCAGAATAGTGCTCTGAGTTTTTCACCTTTGTCCTTTTATTTCCTATAGTTTAACCAATAAATTGAAGAGGCACTGAGTTTATTTCTGGTTTTGAGTTTTTCTGTTTCAGTCAACATAACTTAAGTCAGATAAAACAATTTGATTTGGGTTCAATAAGGTGCTATTTTGATCTGAAGGTCAATCTACCAAGAAGCAGGAACAGTTTCTCATTATTTTCCTTCACCACTCCAAGCAGTCTTTACTAAAGTCTTTTGAGCAATGTCTGACCTCTGTTTCAATACTTCTCACAGATTTCACAGACTGTCACCACCACTCAGCCATCACTAACACAGACAACTGTAATGGAAACGGTAACTATGGTGACCACAAGGGAACAAATCCTGATAAAGCATGCCCAAGAGGAACTTCCACCCCCACCTCCACAAAAGAAGAGGCAAATTATTGTGGATTCTGAAATTAGGAAAAGGTGAGAGCATCTTATTCATACTTTGTTCACAAATGAAGATTCATTGTTAACTAAGAAAACTTACAATCATTTTGATGATGGTGCTTTTACTAAAACAATATTTCCAAATACCCTTTATATTTGTTATGTCAGTTCATTTAAGGAGAAAAAAATGTAACAAGTTTTAAATTTTATCCCAAAAATCATAATCCAAGTGACACCTGAATATTTAATAGTAATGCTGGTTTCCATTTGAAAGAAGAAACAAGAAGTCATGAACTGCAATAGGCCTATTTTAATCTTGAAAGTGTCTTCTTTATTTTTATAAAGGGCCTGCTTTTTCAGTCTCTAGTTTTGCATTAAATGTCTTTATTCCAGTAATAGAAAGTGCATTTTCATGAAGCAGTGTACCTCTAACAGACAAGATCCATTCTGCTAGTTTAGGAGAACATAATGTCTCAATCTGCACATCCTAAATCAGGAGTAATTACAGAACAGATTTCCTGTTCTTTGATATTTATAAAGTCTTATATTGAAGATGTTAGAATTCTTAAATGATCTTTTTGTGGGTATTTTCAATTAGAAGTTGTAGATAAGTTAAATGTTATGTAAATCAATCAATACATTAAAATGATGACAATAAATTGTATAAATAAAAACTAGTATGAAAATCGTAAAAAGGTATAATTTCCATTTCCAATTATTTGCAACTCTAAGATTAAGAAAGAATGTTGAAATATGCTACATGTTTCTAAGCAGCATATGGTCAGGAATGCATGGAACAGTTGACATTAGAATTTGCATATTCCAAGGTTTGGGAAGAACATGTCCCTAAAATTAATGTGTCAGATGTTCTTAGCAAAGGAAAAGAAATATCCAGAAAAATTACTGGAATATATTATTTGGGATCTCTTCATTAATTCATACTTTATGAATTACTTGGATAATTCAGAACTATATAACCAGAAATTTTCTTCCTGGTCCCATTGGATAGGGCAAATACTCAACTTCAAAGATTAACAAACCAAGGCCTATAGGCCAAATCCAGCCTGCTGCCAGTTTTTTGTGTGGCTCATGACCTAAGAATTGGTTTTATAGTTTTAACTGTTTGAAAACAAGTAAAAAAAGGGGCCGGGGATTTAGCTCAGTAGTGTAAGCACCTGCTTGGCAAGCTTAAGGTCATGAATTCAATCCCTGGTACCAAAAAAAACCCAACCAAACAAACAAACAAACAAACAACAAAAAAAAAAACAAGCAAAAGAATATTTTATGATATGAAAATCATGTGAAATTCAAATCCCAGTGCCTGCAACTAAGGATCCAGCAGAACATGGCTGTGCTTATTCAATTATGTATTATATAAGATTTTTTTTTCACATTGCAAAGGCATGATTCAAAGAGCTATAAAAGAAGTTGTATGTGACCTACAAAGCCTGAAAAATTCACTGATTGACCTGCCACACAAACCGTTTGTTTAGTCAAATGGTTTCAGAACTCTGTTAGCATTCGTTTCTTTGCTGCAAGTTCCACATACTCTACCAGTGATGATGGTTGAAATTTGAGCTTTCACTGATGGTTAAAAAAACAAGTAGTGGCACAAATAGTAATGTTCTTTTTTATTTTAAAGAGGGTAAAATTAAACAGAACAAAACAGATCATAAGAAAACAATTTGAGAAACACAGATTTCAAAGCAAGACCATCGGAGATCTTCACTGTCTATCATATTGCCTCTTGTTTTCTTCCAAATAGGTGTCCATATCTTCACACACAGTGAATACGTAACAAACAATATAGTACTAAACTGATCAGAACAGGATGATGAAGGCATTTTACATCTTCAAGACCAGACAATAGGGAAGTCAAAAATGGCTGCTATATTTTTTTCTTGTTCTTCAAAATAGCTGTCCATATCTTTAGGTATGCTGAAATTAAACAAAAGAAAACAGACTAATATCACTCTGGACAGAGAATAATAATATTGCTAGCTTTTATATCATAATGCTATGGAATTAGCACTGGGTATCTTAGTGTCTCTTTTTCTTCAGAGTATTTGTTCATTATATTGTACTTTATACAATATTTTCTCATAAACTGTTTAGAAGTTCTACACATGTATGAATCTTGGCATGTATACGTATCCTTTCCGTATTAGAGGGAAAAATAAATCAAAACAAGCTCCTAGACAAACATGAAATGAAAAATACATATAAAAACCACAATACTAGGTGATCTATAGTAGTCACTATGATGTTTCTTGTCACATTCAATAGAATTATCTATATCATCAGGCATAATATAACTGAATATAGCACAACATAGCAATATTAATAAAAAAGCATTGGAGACATTATAAGACTTCAAAAGCAGTTAATAATCAAACCTGAAAGAGTATTCTATTGCATCTTGTCATCTTTAGAGTAGTTGCCTCTGCTCTTAGACTTGATACTATAAAGCATAACAAATTCAAATAAAATCAGTCAAGGCAAAACAGCGATCTAACAAATCAGAATCAAATAAGATCAGTCATAGTAAGACAGTGTAACTAATACAGGGCTTCAGGTTAAGTTAATAGGAAATTAAAGATAGTTACCATAGTATATCCTGCTATTTCGGGGATAGCTGTCTGTGCCCTCAAATTTAATACTAGTAGACAGACTGGAACAGAACAAAATCAAACTAAACATAGCGATAAGACTAATGTGGTTTTTAAATCCTGATACACTATCAAAAATATCCTCTGCCTTCCTTTTTCAGACAGTTCCTCCCTATTCCCTTTCTCAGGGTGCTTTGTATATTTTGGGTCCCACTAACTCCTTTAGTTTTTAGATTACAGGGGCAACCTGATATCTACATAAGTGGTCCTGAACCTTTTTACCTCTGAGCTTGATCCTGAGCTATACTCCTTTACCTACTATAGCCTCAAGGTTTTCCTTCCTTATAGCTGAGTAGTTCTCCACTGCACAAAAGTTTCATGACTTTCCAGCCTATCTGTAGCTGCTGGACGAGCTGTCCCTATTTCTCTCGCTTCCCTGTCACATAGAGCATTGTTTCTCTTTGTTCTCTTTGTTCTCATTGTTTTCTTTTGACTTTTGATTTATTAACGCTCTTTCAGGTTAACTATATTTCCTATTCAGAGCATCTCAGTGGACCCTATCTCCTGATCTACTCGGCCTGTGTTTCTTTTTGTTAGTGTATTAAGATCATCTGTGTTAGAGATTATAGCCAATTTTCTCTGCCTTATCTCTGCTATGTTATTTTTCTGCTGTTGGTTGTCTGCTTTTCTCCTTCATTCCACTTTCTGCCTCTTTCTTTGAGGTCTCTCTGCCACTGTTGCTGGAATCCTGGTAATTTTTTTCTCTCTCTCTGTAGAATGTTCTCCAATATTTTTTGTAGGGTTGGACTGGTGGTCACGAACTTCCCCAGTTCCTCTTTGTCATGGCAGCATCTTGTTTCTCCATTAATTTTAAGGGGCAGTTTTTCAGGGTAAATCAATCTGGGTTGGAGTTATTTTCTTTCAAAGCTTGGAATACTTCACTCCAAGCTCTTCTAGATATGATACTTTGTGTCTAGAAGTCTGTCATGATTTTCATGGGTTTTTCTTTCTAGGTGATCTGTTTCTTTTCTCTGACAGCATTTAATATTCTGTTCTTGTGATGAATTTCTGTGATCTTGATTATTATATGTCTGGGTGTGGATCTGTTTTGGTTGTAGCTGGCTGGATTTCTGTATGCCTAATGTGTTTCAATATCATTTACTTTTCCTATACTTGGGAAGTTTTCCTTAAATATTTCTGCAAATAGCCTTTGCATTTCATTTGTTTTACTCCTGCTTCTTCACTCATGTTTTTTATTCTTAAGTTATAGATTTCTTGTTCTTTATATTGTTACTTCCTGGTTCCTTTTTGTTTTTTGTATTTTTAAGAGCTGTTTCCTTTCATGATCACACACTGCAAATCTATCTTCAAGTTTTGAAAGTCTAATTTTAGTTTCTGTCAAGGCATTTTGTCAGCTTTCAATGGAGTTTTTAATTTCCTGGTAATCTCTTTGGATCTGTTTCATGTATTCCGGATTTGGTTTATATTCTTCATCAAAGATTTCTCTACTTTTTCTGGGTTCCTCCATTATTCCATCTGTGTCTTCTTGAGAGGGGCTTAGCATTTCTTTTATTAATCTTTTTATATCTTGCCTCACTTCGATTCGAATTTCAGTTTTCAGTTCATCTATGAGATCATAAAGGTATTTATTTATGTCTGCTGATGCTGTGGCCGATACTGTATGACTGCTGCCCTGGGTCTTTTCTGTATTTATCTCTCCTGGATTTACTCTCCTTCGGTCAGCGGTTAGAGGCTTTTTGTTGTTTCTTTCTCTTGTCATGTTTGGGGTTTCTTTCAGATAGGTGTATGGTGGAGTTATCAAGCCCTTTCTGCATTGCTTATGGCTTTTCTGAAGCATGCTGGCTCGGGGATTGCTGCCCTCTCCAGTTTACTTTTGATCTATGAGGTGCACATAGGGACATTGTGGACTGGCCCCTCTCTTCTGAGACAGTCAACCAGCAAGTGCCTTCAGCATGTTAGTTTGTGCCATGGTGACCTCACAGGTTCAGGACAGTTTCATCCCTGGCTATTGGGTCCTGATAGGGGTATGACCCAACTCAGACAGATCCTACTAGTCCTCTTTGAGCCAAGAGTGACTAACTGATGCCATTCTGGTTCCATATTCAGGCCCATCTTGTCCAACTCCAATATGTCATCCACCTGGTCACCCCCTTTGTGGGACCCAATTCCTTGGACTCACCATGGGTTAATGCAGCTCGCCACATTGATTCTGTTCTCCATTGTGCTGCATCCTCCCGCAAAGAGCCTTGGGCTGACCAACCCCCAATCTTGGCGCTACCTCTACTTCAGCGCAATGATGAGTCATCTGACTCCATGGCATGCCCAGCACAGCACTGGAGCAGCTCCAGTGAGAGTGCATCTGGTTCCAGCCTTTTGCCCACATTTTTCCTTCCTTTCTTTCTTTTT